GTCTGCTCTGCTCTGGGGCAGGGAGTGGGGGTGGGGTGGGACTCCATCCTACTCCACGCAGATCTGCACGGAGCCTCCTTTGCCAGGCTGGCATCCGAGGGCCTTGAGCTCATGTTACTGCTTAGATGTGGGGACTGGGCTGGACAGGAAATTGCAGGCCCAGGGAGCCTTCAGGTCATTGGGACACAAAAGACTTGATGGTCCACAGCCTAGGGTACAACTTCAGTTCACATTGCTGAAGTGTGGCGTTGGAGGTCATAGGTAGAGCTTTAAGAATATACTTTCTTGTTTTGTCTGAACCTTGGAGAAAGAATAATTGTGGAAATTAGAAAGAAAAATGGAACTTTTTCCATGGAAATGGAAATGCATACCAAAGTCCACTTGGGTTGTTTACAAAGAGAGGCGATTGGTAAAAGAGTGCCTTGAAATGTGGTGCGTGGAATGTTATCTCCAAGGTGTCGAGAACATTCTCAAGCTTTTGAGTGGCTTGCAAAGGCAAATTGTGTCTGGCAAATCCTGGGAAAACAAAAACAAAAATGAACTTAAAATGTTGAGAGCCACAAAAGACTGATCTCAAAGGTGGCTGACCAAGTTGTTCGTGTATCTTGAAATCTTGCCCTTAATTTCGTTCATCTTTTTATTTGTATTGGTAATTTTTATTTGTTTTAGTAACATTTCACGAGCTATGGTCTAACTTTTTGATGTGTTCCCTTTTCTTCATTTCTCTTTCCCTCCTGATTGCCACATTCCCCCTTTTGTGTTTACCGTGGCCTTGAACTTGCTAGTGTAACCCTCAGGTCAGTGGGAACGGTGGTAGTTTACCTGCTTGGATGCGCCCTAAAGTATACGAAGATTTTCCTTTTCAGGAAAATACCACCTCAGACAAAGATAGTGAATATCATCTAAAATTAGGAGCTATTTTTCTTTGATGCTTTATTTGATGATTAAAGCAAAATAGAATCTATTAGAAAATGTGGAGTATAAAAATTATCTTTGTAGGTCATTGAAATCAAGAATTCTCAAGTAGATCAACATACAGATCGTTAGGGAGCTTGGCAGAAAGGCATATGCAGGGATTTTACTCCGAGACCCTGATGGGCAGCCCCTGGGCATCTGTGGATGCGGCAGCTCATCCCCAGGCGGGGGGCGTGCACAAGCCAGCAGGAAGCGGAGTCCGGAGGGGAGCCGCGGTGGCCTGCACGTTAGCCCCGTGGAACACACCCACGGAATGTCAGCAGCATCCCGGATGGAAGTGAGCAGCCAGTGAAAAGGGAACGGGCGCATGAACACGGGTTCCGAGGTGGTGGATTTCTGTGAAGAGGCCTGTGCTCCGGGGTGACCAGAAGGCTGCCTAGATAGTGTTTCTGGGTATTCTAGTGGGGTAGCTGCACTGACTTGCATCAGTGGACCGAGGGAAGAAGGTCAAACCTGCCAACATGGGAGTGCACTGTCCACTCCATCGAGGGCCTGACCAGAGCAGAAGGGGGAGGAGGGGCAAACGCGCCCCCTTCTTGAGCTGGGGCATCCCTCTTCCACCCTCGGACATCAGAGGCTGGTTCTCAGGGCTTCGGATGCAGGATCTATACCAGTACCCCTCCCTCCTGGGTTGAATTTTCAAGGCTTTGGTCTCAGATGTAATTATAACTCCAGCTTTCCTGGGGCTCCGGCCACAATAAACCTCCACGTATTTACCTATATATTCCATTAAAGTGCAAGGCCCTGAAGGATCCCAGAAAGGCTCTGGGGACCCCTAAGAACACAGGCTCCATGTGGGAGGTGTCCAGGGGCCTGTGGATTGTCCGGGTGGAAATGACCATTAGGCAGGCAGAAACTAGAGTCCAGAGCTTTGAGTCTTGAGCTCACAGATGATGAGGAGGAGCTCACGATGAAGTGAGAGGCCGAGTAGGATCAGCTGTAGGGGCTTTAGGCAAAAGGCACCGAAGCAAAGGGCACAGGCAGGTAATATTCCACATCCCAGACTCAGAGGACAGAAGAGAGAGACATCACAGGAGAACAAACGTGGACCCAGGAACACCATGTCCTGAAGGCCATCAAGGGGGAAGCCTCCAAAACTTCTGGGGAGAAGAAACCGATTCAAGAAGACCATAAAGTTCAAAGTGACCTGCACTGTAGCGTTTTAAGGGACTGAGAGAGGCTTGCATCAGGTTCGGGGAAAGCCGAGCCAGTTTGTAGGCATAGGAGAAGCACAGGAAGACACGGATGAGGAGCAATGCTATAGAAAAGTTAGACTTCTAGCAAGAAGTAAGCTGATCCGAACGGGTGTTGACATTTTCATACGGGAATATTCTTGGAGGAGAAGCAACAAGGCACCCAGAGCGTGGCAACAGCTGGAAGCTTGTGCCATCGCGAGGTCGAAAGGAAAAAGGAAGGAGTTGGGGTGCTTGGAACGTTTTCAAGCTGAGGCAGGCTGAGAAGAGTTGGGGTCCCAGGCGTCACTCCTCTGCACTGATCCCTGATTTTTGTTTCTTCCACCTCTCGCCATCTAGCGGTGGGTGTGAGAGGTCCGCACCCTATCAGCAGCGCTGTATCCTTCCGGCCAAATGATTGGTTGGAGAATGAGCACGTGACTCAATTTGGTCCAATCAGAATGAAACCCAGGACTAGCCCAGGAACTACCCGGAAGAAAATTTGTCTGTTTTTTTCTACTGGACTCGAACCCGGGGGATTGTGAGGGGAAGTCCATCTGAGGGCCTGCCAGAGAAAGGTGGAGAGAAGCTGGTGACAAGTCCTAGAATTAGCCGTGTTTCAGTCTGCCAGAGACCTGGGCTTCTCTGTTTCAGATCTTTCTTTGCTTAATGAATTTGAGTAAAATCTTTGCTTGAGACCAACCCAGCTCCTTGCCTGGCCTCTTTTGATCCCATTGTGTGCTGAACATTTGTTTGCCTGTGGCTTTGACACCTGTGCAATTTATCAAAGACGGCTGTAGACACAGGTGACAGGTCACTGATGACAAGTTTTCTGAGTGGCAAAAATATGTACCCAAAATAGGATTCTTTGTATTTTTCCATTTGAAATTCTTCATTGTCAAGTCTCACAGAGAGGGCTTGGCCCTTGCATTTGCAGGAGCATGACATGGCACAAAGACCCATGAAACAATTTCTCTTTGTGGGGGCGAATAAATATAGACTAAATCATAGTGGAAACCAATGTGCTAGATAATGTTCTCTCCTCAGAGAGTATTTGACATAATTATAGCAAACTGACGGGCATTTTATAGCACTTTACCCTTTGTGAGGTTTTCTTATGCATCCTCCAATCTAACCAACCCAGGCTAAAACCACCTCTAAGCAGGGAGTACCCTACCCCTCATCTTGTGGATCTGGAAACTAAAGCTCTGAGAAATGAAAGTAGGTCACTCAGACTTTCTGGCTAATAAGGCCAGGCAGGGGACTGAAAACCGGGTCTCTGATTTCAAAACCCCTCACACTGGCAGAATGAGAACTTTTGAGGCCATCTCAGGGGGATTTTGATTCAGAATTCCTTTTGGACTTTTTGCTGCCATGACCATCTGCATGGCTTCCGTGGACCACTGAGTGAGATCCACAGAGAAACCAGAATGCCTTTACTGGACAGGAGGACAGGAGGTGAGTGGTCACCAACCTGAGCGTCTTCCCTCGCTGTTGATTGTGCTTTAACCTCCAGATCTGCCTGTTTGGCTTCATCTCCCACCCTATTTTCCTGGACCACAGCTGTCACCTCCTTGCTGGTCTGTCTTTCCCTCTTGTCAATCCCAAGCCATTTTTCATGGTACATGGGGATAAAGAAAATGAAGCTCGAATGTGTCCTTTCTCTACCCAGGATCTCTCAGGATTGCAACTTCTCTTGAGATGTAAAACACCGTACCGAGTGTCTTTGTGTTGTGAATGGTCTGTACCCCAGTCTTCTCTCTAGCCTTACACCTCACAGCTCCTGTGCTTGTCTTTGACCCCTGTCTACACTGGTCCTTTCTCAGCTGCCTCCGAGATCACTGTCTCTTCTGTCCCAGCACCTGTTCCCTCACCCAGGAGGCTCTAACCATCCTTTCTCTCTGTCCGTAACATACAACACCCTGTACCTGATTTATCCAGATCCTGCCTTTCCAGATCCGTCTTCCCTATTCATCAGCAGAGGTAGCCAATTATTTGATCCAGTAACAGCCTGTTTATTTCTTTTCTACATAGGATTTACCAGTTTGTAATCATATGTTTTAAGGAATCATTGACCTGTCTCTCCTCAGCTGACTGTGAGCTCCCTGAGGGCAGGAAATGCATGTGCTTGTCTTGAATACCAGTTCCACATCTCTTTTGCCCTCTTCCCTTTCCTAAGAGCACCCGTGCTTCCCTCTGCTGTGATGTGTAACAGGTATGAGATTTGAGCAGCGCCAACGATGCAGTCTTGCCCCTGTTAGAACTGTGATGGGCAGGTGTGCAGCCCTGAGTGCGCCATTCACATCATTTGCCCGCCACACTTGATTTGTGTTTGCAATTGGCAATTCTGGACTTTTATTGGATGCCTTAGGAACTCTGTCCTGACCTGCCTCAGCCATCTGGCTACCATGAAAGACGTTGGCATGAGGACAAAGTTGCAAAGTTGATATTCAGGAGAAGAGAATGTGGTGAGAGTTGCAGACAAATCGTGGTAGGGGATTTTCACTCCTGAAGGAAACTAGGTTACTGATAGTGGCCTAACTCAAATTCTTCAAAGTTGGACGGTGCAAATGTTCCCCGTAGGCACATTACTAAATCACTCGTGTTCACTTCCTCATGCATTGTCATCGCCTTTATTGCTGGTGGCCCCCTGGGAGGTGCTTTGTCCTTTCCAAGTCCACATGCAGTGAAACCTAATTCCCCCATAAGGTCAACATTGAACCCAACCACTGAATTTGATTTGGTTCTTGTTCAACTTGGTTTCTGACCAGAATCATGGAAAGAATCAAGTTCATGAACTGAGATACTACTGTGTCTCATGAATGAAGGGTATTTCTCCAACCCTCCAGTATGTGACTTGCTTTGAGATGTAGGGGGGTCTTGTACAGTTCTATTAGCTCTCTCATTCTTCTGGCATAACTATGAGAGACATCTGGCCTGGATATCCAGGTATTCCAAGGAGGGAGATGAGAGATATCTGAAGCAGAGGTGTCTCAGCAGAGCACAGCCAGGATCAGCCAAAGTCAAGATAATCTGTGGACAAATTAATGATAATAAAAGATGTTATAAGTGGCTGAGTTTGGAGGTTATTGGAGAAGTTTGTTGCGCAGCAGTAGTTGACAGATACAGTCTTCAAAAAGATAATTCCTGTTGGTCATGACTGCTTCTGCCGGGGCACTCTGGTTTGGGGCTAGCTGTGAGCATATGTATCCTTTTTCCTAATTCTGTGTCAGATCTGGTCTGTGTATTCCTGGCTTCTTTGTTGTTTCCCAGCTTCTTTCTTGAGTGCAACTTCTTCAACTCCTGGCCACTACCCCTTCTCCCCTGGAAGCTGAAAACTGGCTCTGAAAGCTGATCAAGAAGTCACCATGGCAACACCTCCACCCACCTGCTCTCCTCTTCCCCAAACTCTAAATTCCATCATTCTGCTTCACCCAGAGAATGAAAAATAAAACAAAATAATACAGAACAAGGAGATGAAAGCCTGCTCGCTTTGCTAGGCATGCAAACTCACACAAACACCTGACTGTAGGCACCAGTAGCTGGTCCAGTTTGTCCAGCAGCCGGGCTCCATGTGTCAGTCCAAGAAGCAGACACCAAGACACGATTGGACAAGCAGAAGATGATTGGAGGCCTTGACAGAGAAAAGCAGCAAAGACAGAGGAAGCGGGGAAGGGACAGGGCGAGGCTTCGAATGGACTGCAGGTCTGAAAGACTGTGGCAGAGAGTGGGAAGACGGGGGGCAGTGGACGGGGAGCCTTGACCACCGCCTGGTCGGTGTGGAGTCCTCAGGCCCGTGTCACCCTCTGAGGAGGACCCCATTCTGTGGGAAGGAACTCCTGCTGTGCCAGCTGATGGCCGAGGTAGTCTGGGACTAGCACAGCCTCACTGTGAATGGGGTCACCTTGTCCTTCAGGAGAGGGCCGAGCAATGTACTCCTGCCGATGCCCTGTTCCTCTAAACCCAGTCCGACCCTCACCGAAAGCTCTGCATGGAGAAACTTGCTTAAATAAGGTGTTGGAAGGCAGGGTGGTGGGAGAGGAGGAGGAATGCAATCTCTCCGAGAGCGTGTGGCCTTTCTAGAGCATCCTCATATAGAGCAGACATATGGAACACCTGCCGCAGAGCAGGTGCGCCAGACACGATGTCTTCCTTTGTCTAAATCTGGAATGCTCACCAGATGGCCTACGAGCAGGCCATAGGTTCTCGGTTGTTCATGAAAATGGTGTTGATTGTCAAGGATTACAGACAGCAAGCCAGGAGCTCGGGAAACATTTTCGTTCTTTCTCCTCGAAAGCAGCTGAAGACGGTTCACAAAGTCTTCAAGACCTGCTTTATAGCCTGCAAGACTCCGGGCAGGAGAGAGAAGGTCCTGGCCCAGAGTAGCCATTCATTCATTCATTCATTCATTCATTCAGCAAATATGATCGCATGGCTGTGCTCAGGCTGTGGGAGGGACCAGAGGAATGTCCCAGATACCACCCGCTTGCCCTCTGTGCCACGCGGTGCCGGCTGATGGCTGAGGTGAGCCCTGCTCTGTCCTCCTCTTTTCCCTTTGCTCTGGGCCCAGAAGGCTGACGTGTACGGACAGAATCAGGCTCCAGCTCCCTCTGGCCTCTGGCTGGGCGTGATCAGCGAGAGGTGTGAAGAAAGAGGCGGCTGACGTCCAGCACTTGCTCCTCTGAGTCCCTCTGCGGTCACCTGTATGTCCATGACTGGCCACCAGGGCTCCTCTCATGAGGGCTGATTCGACACAACTCCCTCCTTCGGGCTTCCCTAACTGACCCCTCCCTGCCGCCCTCCTGGGGTGGCCATTACGGGTTTGTGCTGCTACACCACCCTCGTCGTGAAAATAAACTCTCCTCTGTGTTTCTGAATCAGGTGGAACATCAGTCTCACCTGGGAGTGATGTAGGAGAACCACGAGACGGACTCGGCCTCCAAGGGGCCAGTGAACACTGCCTGTGTCAGCTCAGGCTGCGTAACAAGCACCACACACCGGGGGGCTCACACAGCAGAAGGGTGTTTCTCAGGGTTCAGACGGCTGGCGACTCCATGATCAAGGTGCTGACTGATTTGGTTCTGGCTTGTAGTGGGCTACTTTTTTCCTGTGTCTTCACATGGTGGTAAGGAGAGAGGAAAGGAGAGGAGAGAAGAGGAGAGGAAAGGAGAGGAGAGAAGAGGAGAGGAGAGGAGAGGAGAGGAGAGAAGAGGAGAGGAGAGGAGAGGAGAGGAGAGGAGAGAAGAGGAGAGGAGAGGAGAGGAGAGGAGGAGGAGGAGGAGAGAGAGAGAGATTGATTTGATTTTGGTTGACAACAAGCTCTCTGGGGTCTCTTCTTATGAGGGCATTAACTCCAACATGATCACTGGCCCCTTCCCACAACTATACCATCAAAACCTAATTTCCTCCCATTTGGACCTCTCTCCAAATTCTGTCACATTTGGGTGTTAGAGACTCAACACTTCCTCCAACCTTCCAGGGTGGGAGGAATATAATTTAGCTCATAAAAGACATCAGATTATTCTGAAAAGATTTCAGAGGATGATGCAGATCATATCTACAGTGGAAACTCACACAGCGCTCCTTGTCTGGGGAAGCTGGAGGTCAGGAAAGGCTCCGTGTTAGTGAGATTTTCTGTTGCTAGGACAAAACACCTGACACCAGGAGTTTAAAGAAGGAAAGGTTTCTGCTGAGTTACGGTTTCAGAAGTTTTAGTCCATGGTCTTCCAGCTCCAAGGCAGAAACATCATGGCGGAGGGATGGCCAAGGAAAGCAGTTGGAGCCAGAGAGACAGAAGGGAGCCAGGGCAGGAGATTTACCTTCCAGAGACGCCCCTGGTGACCAACATCCTCTCACAACTCATGGAGATCTGAACTCATGAATGGATTAATCCACCAGGAAGTGCAGGGCTCTCATGACCCTGTCACTTTCTGAAAGTTCCACTTCTAAACCCATGAGACTTTGGGGGGTCTTGTTGGATATAAATCATAATAGGCTCCTCAAGGGGGTGGCACCTTTTGCATGCCCTGTGCTGGCACAGGACGCTTCAGATAGAGTAATGCTCTGGGATGACCCTGAGGAAGGGAGAAGGGCTTGGGTTATCCTGGGAATGGAAGAAGGCTGAGTGTAGGGTCAGTGGTCCAGGGATGGTGGAGAGGAGGTGATGGAGAGGAGGCTGTGGAGGTGGGGTTTCCTGGGAGACGATGGATAACGCATCTAATTGGGAAGGGAAGAGGCCGGACCCCTGGTGGAAGACATTGTCTCCATCTGACTTCGGCCCTGCCCTGGCTCCTTGAGTCCTGAGCTCCGCGGCCCATTGAAGTTACGTTTCCTTCACGTGTGACCAGCTCACACCAATATGTCGGCCTTTGGGCTCTCTACCTCTCTCTCCTCTCTAAGAGCCAGGACTCGGGGTAAGGAACACTGGTCGAAGGGTACAGAGTTTCAGAGGTGCAGGATGAATCTGTTCTGGAGATCTAAAACCTCTGCTGAATGCAGTTAACAGTACTGTTTTAGGGGGATGCAGCTCGGTGGTTGAATGGTTGCCTAGCAAGCAAGCGGTGTTGCCTTTAATCTTTAGCACCCATGGGCAGGGGGGGAGGGGTGCGCAGGGAATGTTGTATATACTTGAAGCTTGTTAAGGAGATTGTGGAGCGTGCCTATGTTCCCAGCATTCTGGGAGGCTGAGGCAGGAGGATCACAAGTTCTAGCTGCACATGGGCAACTTACAATTGAACAAGACCCTGTCTCAAAATAAAACATAAAAACGGGGCTTGGGATAGGACTCAGTGCAAAGGTCCAGGGGTCACCGCTGTGTGAGCCACAGGCCAGAGGCCCAGGACAGGTCAGGGGGAGAATCAGCCCAATGTACCGAGAGATGCTGATGACAGTTTCCATGATGCCAGGGAGTGAGGGGGAGAGACACACACAGAGAGAGAGAGAGAGAGAGAGAGAGAGAGAGAGAGAGAGAGATAGAGAGAGCACTCAGCAGGACACCGTGGAATCTCATTTATTGGACCCATTATCTGAATTAGGGACAATTTCAAATTATGACCACGAGATAGACAGGAGAGATAAGGAGCACTTGTAATTTCCCGTGCTCCTGCTCGGCTGTGTGTGGGCATTGTGAGAGCCTCTCCTATCTTTTCTCACGTTTCAGAATCATTTAATTAGTTTTCTGGCCCCAGACGAGGAGGAAGGAGCTGGCCTTCACGGTGTCGTAGGCACTCCTCAGGCGCCCTGACCCTGGAAGTCCACGCGCAGCTGTTTCTCACTTAACCTTCCCTGCAGCTCTGCACAGAAAGTGTTACTGTCCACAGTCTGGGAGCAAATGAAACAGTGAGACTGGGCCCCACAACGTAGTCCCCAGAGTTAGCATGTCCATCTGTCCATTTGTCCATCTGTCCACCAGGTCATCCATTTGTCCATCCATCCTTTCATTATTTAGCATTTCTTACTGATTGTATTTCGTGGGCTGTGTTCTGGGCACAGGAGGTGCCATCAGGCTCATCGTCTAGTGGGGTGGGTGATCAGACTCCTCTGGGTTCCCCAGGTGGGATGTCTCAGCGAGGTTCTTACCTACCGCACACTAAGTATTCTGTAAATCCTTGATCTGGACTTGGGCGCTTGTTTGGGGTTTCTCAGAGGCCTAAAGAGCTACCCTCAGTTACCAAACTCAGTTGCCTGAGACTGAGGGGGAATCTCCCCGATTGTAAACTTTTTGCATTCACACTGAACTGGGATGATGGGTCACCATAGTTCAGTGAGTCTCAGTCAAGGGTGACTTTGCTCCCTGCTCCCCAGGGAGATGCGGTGTATGGGAGACTTGCTGGACTGTCATGACCGGGTGGAGGGCTGCTCCTGACCTCTAGTGGGCGGAGGCCAGGAATGCTGCTGAGCACCCTGCAGGGTTCAGTGCAGCTAAGGAGAGGACACTGCCCTGGTTGGGAGGGAGGCGGCAGCCAGGGGCAGGGAGACTGTGAAACTGATGGACGTGTTGGTCTAGAGGCCAAGGTGGGAACTAAATGTGCTGCATGGCCCAAGGACATCAAGGCCTCTCCTCACTCCTGCCTCTGAAGCAGTGTTTTTCATCCTTTCTTGGTCATAAGAGTTGATTACCTGAGATGTTTGTTAACAAGCAGATTTCTAGCTGCAGTACACGGTGAATTACCCATCTGTAATCCGAGAAGGCTGAGGCAGGAGGATCGCTGTGAGTTTGAGGGCAGCCTGGGCTACGTACGTAAGTTCCAGGCCAATCTGTACTACATAGTGAGATTGTCTCAGACAAAACAAAACAAACAAAAAGCCCCCAAACAAACAAACCAAAACACCAAAAACCAGACTTACCAGAGCCCCGACTTACCAGAGCCACGTGAGGCTCATCAGTGTCTCCTCTGCCCAGGTGGCCTATGCGATGCTCATGCAGCTGGAAGGGCTCCTGAGCTCACCTGGGAACCTCCCTGCCGTCCAGGGGCGGAAGTGGAGGCCGTGAGATCCACTCCAGCAGCCACTGTCACAGAGCTGGACACTGCAGGGCGGACCCTGGCTTTGAGAACTCTGGGCACTGTGAGGTTTTTACTGCTCTGTGCGCCCTCCCTGCAGAGCTGAGAGCAGAGGGCGGTGGGTGGGGAGACAGACAGGCTCCCCTGGAATGACCATAAAACCAACTGTGGGTTTTCTTTACTAGGAAACCGGTATCTCTCTGTCTGGTTTCGTTTGTACTCTGTCATGTGCTGTAAAGGATTTCGAATCTGCTTCCCAAAAGGACTTACATGGAATAACATGGGAAAATGTACATAAGAATTAAAAAAAATCAAACTCATAGGAACGGGATATTGAGGGGGGAGTTGACTTCAGATTTGATATTGAGCTTCCTGCCAGCCAAATCAAAAAAAGCAGAGGCTGTTACTGCGTAGTTCTTATAGGGAAGAGTTCAGAATTTCCAAACGGGCAACAAAACAGGTAACCAGTACATACCTCCCATACCACCACCACAAAAGCCAAGAGTGTATGTGCAGGGAATAATGATTTTATGGTAAGGAAGTTTTTATGACAGCACCACTAAGAAGATTTGATGTTGATATAAATGGGATATTTAAATTCTTGGACAGATACCTCAGTAACTTACCTCTAGAAATCTATCTGAAGGAAATAACCTTGGCAAAGGCTTATTTATATACCGAGGCATTCACCAAGTGTTAATTAACCCACCCCATCACCATGCATTGGGTGTCCGGCCGTGACAGCCGTCCTCTGGATATGGTCATGCTCCCGCCACCCACAGGCCACACATTTTATGATGCATTGGCCTTGTTAATGAGCTTGCCACTGGCACAGACTGACACACTTGTGTATGAGCAGTAGCAGGAGCCATAGTCCTGGTGGCAGTAGAGGTCCTAGCATCGATGGTATAGAACCACTAGATGGTTAACTTGAGAAGTCAGTTTAAAATGAAGAACAAAAAAAGCTTACAGACTGAGATGGAGGTGAGCCCCCAGGAAGAGCCACATTAGCTTTAATATAGACACTGTAGAGAGATTTACAGCAGGAATCAAGCATGCTTAGGCAACGGGGGATAAAGATGAGTTAAAAGCTGTGCATGCATAGCTAAATCTCAGAAGCAACCTACATGCCCATGGACAGATGTGTGGATTAAGAATATGTGGTATGTACATGCAATGGAATACTACTCTGCCATAAAGAAGGATACAGTTGGGTTATTTATAGAGAGATGGATGCACCTTAAGACCAAAATGTTAAGTGGCACAAACCAGGCAGACGAGCATAACTATTGCACAGCATCCTTCATATGAGAAACTCAAAGTATAAATAACCCAAGATAGATAATGTGAAAAGGGAGATAGAGCCTCTCTGCAAATGAGAAAGGGAGCTAGAGTCTAGAGCGGGGAGGGACGGGAGAGCAATGGGCGTTGGAGAGAATTAGGATGTGTCACGCACACGGACCAGCTCCCCGCCATGCGTGTAATCTTTGTGTGCAGCGCACATGGACTAGTGAACATAGCTATTGAAGAGTCGTGTGTGTGAAGCAAACGCTGTCGATGCCCCACCTGCGTTCCTCGGCCCTCTGTCCTAATCCCTGCCAGCTGCGTCCTGCAGCAGGACCCCGACCTCTCCAGAAAGGGGCTGGAGGTGCCAGAGGGCAGCCTTTGGCCAGTGGGGGCTGGGAGTTGGAGGTGACTGCCCTGGCTTCCTCCCCGCTTTCCGTGGTAAAACTCTCCAGCCGTCTACACTGTCTCCCGGCTTTCCTAGAGAACTGAGCCCCAAAGCTTCACACCCCTTCTTGGCCGCCGTCTGTTGCCTTTGCAGCCTTCCACTGGTATCTCCCCCAAATGACTTGCATTCAAATTCTGCTTCCGGTGGAACCCGATTGTCTTTCGGGAAATCAGACACAGTCAATTTTATTTTTATTTTGAAAGTAGTAAAATACAACAGAACAAGACAGAATAAAGCCAACCGAGACCGTGTAGTGAAATTGGTACAGAACTTCACAGCAGGGTACCGGGATAACAGTAATAGGTATCACAGTATATTTCATTATCTTTACAATAGTTGTTCTTTCAATCATGTATATCAAAATAAAATGAAATGCAGAACATTATAGAACTTATCAAAACAGAATATTGAATATAGCAGTACCATTAATCAGAATAGAGCAAAACAGTAATAAAAATATTTGCCTTCAAAGAGATGGTAGAAGGAAATCCCCCTTATTTGCTATGGTCAACCTCCCAGGAGATGCTCAGATTTCTGGTTCCCATTTGCTAATGGGGGGACAGGAGAAGCGGGGGTAGGGGAAGTGGGATGTTTGACTCTAGGCCGTGCACCGGTAGGCTCACTATTGCTTAGCAGGGAGGCAGGCTGGTTGTTTGGTTTCCCAGTGCCCTAAGCTCCAACATGGTGCAGATCTCAGGAGACACTGGTGGTTTTCCCCTGGCAGGGCTTGCAGTCTGGCACACTGCCGCCACTTACCTGGGAGGGGAGCTCCACACAGTCAATTTTATTTAAAAGATACCACCGGATGGGTCACTTTAAGGCTCCACTCACCTCCATCTTTCCAGCCCCCAAACTCAGTTCTGGGGTCCTACAGAGCACCCAGATGCAGCTCTGTGTGTGGGCAGCTTTTCCGGCAGAAGCAGCCACCGCGGGTCCCTCTGTGTGGCTTCTGAGGCACCCAGCCTCACCTGAAGGAGCCTAAGAGTCAATGACAGACACAGAAAGAGAGCAGAGCCAGAGAGGCCGGGCTGGGATTCCTCTGACCTCCACTCGCAGACGGCTGTGAGCCGCACTGCTGACCCTGGACACTGAGGTCGTCTGCTGTGCTGGTGGTGTGGGTGGGCAGGGTTGGGTTCCAGGCCTGGAGTCAGACGGAGGTGGGCTTGAAGCCTGTGGCTGGCATTTACTCCCCGTTGATCTTGCCTGGTTCATTATGTCCCTGGTTTAATAGGCTCATGTGGTTGTCATGAGAGTCAGGGGAAGACAGTGTCCACGAATCGGTGCGCACTGACCTGACCCGCACAGCGCAGCGGGTGTAACCGGGTAGATGCACGCAGACCCAAAACCCACTCTTGAGTTTTCAGGTTATCACAAGCCTAGATAATGTGCCTGGCTCATGCTCCAGTATTCATCTGCAGAGAGATAAGATCCATGAGTGCAGAAAAAGATTTATCTTCTTCCCCCAAATTTTTGTTGATATTGAAATTTTAAAGTATACAAAAGGAGAAAGAACAACATAGTGAGCTCCCAGCTCTCCAGGCTTCAGCAATTACATCTTGCCGACCCCATTTTCCACATCCACCCCGTTTTCCCTTTCCGTGGAGCCCTCTGAGGCACATTCGGGACAGAAGGCGTTCAGCTTGCGGTGTAGCACAGGTAACCTGTCCCACGAGGACCACGGTGTCCACTCCGCAGCCCGGTCCCCCATGTCCTTGCTTGCTCTTTGGGGTGCTCCTCCTCCTAGGGCCGCGTTGCAGGGCTGGCGTGGAGGCAGGATCTCATTGATTTCCAGGCGCCTGCCAGAGCCTGATCCAGCATAATTCACGCTGAGCACCTGTCTCAGGGAGGCGCTGCTGCCTCTACCTTCCATAATACACATCAGCTGCCACAGCGCAGTGTTCGGGCTCGTTTCTCACCTCCAAGGAGGCTCCTGACTGATGGCCGAGGAACGGCTTCCCTGTGACTGATGGGATATGCGCTAGCACAGCCTCCCTCTCCCCTCTCTTCTGGAGGCTGAGCCAGAGCTGGACTTCTAAGTGCCAGTGCCTGCTTCTCACTGCCTGTCCGTCCCCCCGCCCCCACCAACCCCCCAATCTGCTGGCCGCCAGGAAGTAAGGTACTGTCCACCTAAGGGTGCTCCAATGGGACATGTGTCCCGCGCTCACTGATGTGAAAGGCCTCCAGGGGAAAGGTGGAGGAGGGGCCTCTGTGAATGCCCTTGCTGGAGTCCTAAAAGACCTTGATCTGGTTGCAAACACTGTGAGAGGGATTGTGGTTAGAAATTTTCTTGGCATGAAAGCTACAAACTGTTAGGCCAGGTCATATTCAGATCTCTAAAGGCCCAGAGCACTCTTTACTTTGGGAAGCTTTCTTATATCACATTGATCATATTAAAAAGTACCCACATTCCACCTGGTATGTGATTCAGACATAAATGTTGAGGTGCCGATAACTAGAATGTAGGACTCTCTGGAGACATTTAATTTAACATCTATTAGGTTTATGTCCCAAGCTGCATTCTAAGCTGTTATATTCTTCTCATTGTATTTTTTGGGGGGACTGTCTTAGTCTTTTTGGAGGGCAGTGTCAGTTGCTCTGTAACTCTAGGTAATTCACTATAGCAGCAAAAGGTTTTCATTACAATACTGAAAATCTGAGGCAGGATGCCGTAGGAGCCGCAGGCGTTCCAGAGGCTCACGGCTATGGCACCAGAATCAGATTGGCCCTGCTGAGGACCTCAGAGTAGAGGAGACCACCGTGAAGGGGTGTGGAGGAAGACATCACACTGCCAGACAGGGAGCCAGAAAGCACCAGGGCTTGGGCCTGGGGCCTTGTGACAGCTTGATCTTGAAGCACTGACTCAGGGTCCCATGGGAGTACCTCAGCACCTTACAGACCTAAAGCCTTCCCATCAGGCTCCGCCCCTTAACATCCTCACACTGAGGGCCACCCTGCTGACATGCATCCTGGGGATAAACCCAACCAACATCCAAACTGTAACGGGGTGTTCTTCTATCTTCCCCGTCTGAATCTCATCTATAGACGCTCTCTCTCTTTTCCTTTTGAAACAGGTCTATGTAGTTCAGGGCTGGCCTTGACCTCACAGTGATCCTCTTGCCTCAGCCTCCAGGTGGGATGGCCAACATACACCACCACGTCCGTCTGGGTGTAGACACTGGAGAGCTTGTTGGCCTGATTCTGTCATTGTCATGCAAGGCTTCTCACTGCCGGGGTGGCTCTTTCCCGGAGTCCCAGGAATCCTCACCCATGTGCAGTTTCAACCGACCCACTGCCCAGATTCTACTGTGCAAAAGG